TTATTATTTAAATAATGTGATTATTTAAATTTGAATTTGAACATATCTAGATTTATCCATTTAAACTTATTTGATAAGTTGTTCAATTTAGAATTCAAATTAATTTAAGTTTGACTTAAATTCGAATTTGAATCTAAATTAAAATTGGACTACTGGATAAAGGATAAAATCTCTTCCTTCCCTATCTGAGATAGGCGCCACACACAGGGATAAAACCCTAGAGTGTGGCCGGCCACCAAGTGGATAAGGGGAAGGGATTTTTTGTTCCAAATTCAAAATTGGAGATAAGGATTTGATTTTATTTTGAAGTTTGACTTCTACTCTTTAAATATGAGAAAGATAGAAAATTGTATATACAATTTTTTGACACATTATTCAGCCCTAATTGAGTGTGGCCGAAATTCTCATAGAGGAAAAAGAGAACAAAATATTTTTCTCCAAAAATTCCACATCGTGCATGCGTTGGTGTTTGTGGAAATTCGAGTGTTTAAGAAACCTATTTTGTCTCACGTGTGCCCACACACACGTCTACGTGGAATCAAGGAATTGACGTGGAAGACTTTGGTATTCTAAACACAAAGCTTGGAGCAAGGACTGTTCGTGGTCAAAGAAATTCAAGTTATCATCCGAGTCGGCTTCCAGGTATTTTTCGGTTGATCCTTGAATGATGTAAATTAATGTGATTAATTTATTCGTGCATAAATTAATATAATCTATAGAGTATCTCAAAAGTTTTATGAAAAATTTTGTTAGACACGATCCGCTGTTTTTCATCCCCACGCTTCCGCACCCGAATTCGATTCGGGAACCAGCAAGACAGAGTATCGATCCATGGCGAATGCAACTTGTGAGATCATGTGGCTGTTTTCCCTTCTCAAGGATCTTCATGTAGATCACCACAAGCCAGCAGTATTATTCTGTAATAACTAGGCAGCTTTGCATATAGCGGCCAATCCTGTTTTCCATGAGCGTACGAAACACATAGAAATATATTGTCACCTTGTTAGAGAGAAAATTCAAGCTGGTGTACTGAAAACGCTGCATGTTTCTTCACAACATCAGCTAGCACACTTACTGACAAAGCCTCTATTTCCTGGACAATTTCTTACTTTGCTTGGCAAGATGGGAATTCACAACATCCATTCTCCATCTTGAGGGGGAGTATTAAAATAGTAGGGATCCCTTTGTAAATAGAATAAAGTAATGGACCAATTAGCTATTTTTACTTGTTTTACTTTTCTTATGTTGTTGAGCTGGACAATGGTACACGTTGTGTGTGCCTTTCCTCTCACCAGTATATGTTTTCTGTTTTGGCTCTTGCACGTTTCCAGATGAATGAGAAGTGAAAATTCTTCTTCCAACTTTCCTTAATATTCCAATACTAATCTGTTTCTGTACATTCATTAAATCACTCATTGGAAACTTGAACCCCTTTGGTTTGCCACTAAATTGTTTGCTGACCAACTTGTACATGTCGAACATCTGCTTCACTTCACTAACAGGGCGACCGGAACCTCTTGCTATCCGCATCATTCGCGTGTGCTATCCAACTCTGCAGCAGCCAACACACTAAATTAGTTAGGTATTAGGCTCAAAACAATGAAGTGAGTTAAATAGAGGAAGTTCCTCCCACAATTGTATCAAAGTTTCACTTGCCTTCACTTGTCATTGAATCCATCATGGTCAAGTAGCACTTGAACTTTGCCTGGCCTTCCTTTCCATCTCCCTCTGGCATAACCTTAGCCTTAAATCCTGGAATCATCGAGAAGACCTGCATGAACCAAGCAAATCATGATTGGCACGTAAAAACCAGCTTCCCCACATAAGAAAATATGAGAATTAATCTAAACAGCGTTAAGAGGCAAATAAGTCGATGTTCTAACCTCACTTAGTGGGCCCATTTGAAGCATATATTGGATAAGCTCATACATGATCCTAAATGTGAAGTTTTTGCATTAGGTCAGGCTGCTGATCCATAGGAACATTTTCTTTAATCTTGTTCATTAGTCCAGACAAGTCTCCCATGCCTAGTTGCAGAAATAATTAATGTCATAATTTGTACATTTAAACGTTTATAATACAAGCTCTGATTTTTTTTATCAAAAAAGAAGTTGCGAATCTAAAAGCCATCTGACAAATGATTTGACATCGAAAACTTCAAACTCATCCATATTTTCTCCAGTTCCTATGAATATGACAGGACTCAACTCTTTGTTGCTGCAACACCGCACACAATTGTAAAACAGAATGAAATTGCCAGCAAATCATATGATTTCTAAGCTGTTTGAACTGAGTCTTTGAAACAATAAGAACTTCCAATATCCAATCATATGTAAGCTGTTTGGATAGCTCATAGTTTATGAAATCCCAGAGATATGATTTATTAAATTTTCAAACCTACACTTACCCACAGCTCAAGGAAAAATTTGTGCCAACCAAAAAAAAAAGTGACGTACATATAATGCATAATCTAGATGACTAGAAATAAACAGGCTAACAGCTTTAGCTTAGGCTGCAAATCTTGCAAGAAAACTTAAGCGCTAAGAGCACCACCTCCCTTGGCATGACCATCCATTTTGGTAACAATTACAGCTCCGACCAAAACACTTTGCTTAAACGCTTGAGCTTGATCGAAAGCAGACTGACCAATACTGCTATCCATAACAAATACAATGAGGTCTGGTTTCTGGAAGATTGAAAGAAAACAGATAATTAAAAAAAAAAAAAAATAGTAGTAGTCACAATAATGATGATGATGATGACAATAGTAGTAGAAGCAGTAATTTTGAAAAGCAATAGTAACAACAACAACAATGAGTCGATGACAAAATAGAATTCGAGAAAAATACTGTTGCTTTGGAAACTTGACGCATTTCTTCAAAAAGAGCAGCTTCCTGTTTGTGACACCCACTAGTATCAACAATAATAAGATAAAAATTTTCTTCCTTAAATCTTTCCACGCCTTCAACTGCAATTTTCACAGGATCTGACTCCATGTAGCTGCAGGCAGAAACATCTAAAATCACTCAAAACGCCAAGGCTTTTATTGAAAATGCAAAAGCACAAGCTGAAGACCTAATAAAGAAGCAGAAGAAGGTACCTTCCATAAAATGGAATCTTAGCTTTAGCGGCGTTCTGCTTCAGCTGATCAAAAGCACCGGCTCTAAATGTGTCCGCACACACCAGAGCAGGCTTCCAACCCTTTCTGTACTGATGGTAATGCGCGTACTTCATAAATGTTGTAGTTTTTCCAGACCCTGATATTTCAAAAGACAAATTATAAAGCAATGTAATAAAGTTTATTAGAAGTTAATTAGTCAAAAAAAAATAGAGAGAGAGAATTACAGGAAAAATATTAAAAAACCAATAGCAAATGTGCCTTGTAAACCAACAAATATCACAATGTTTGGTTAGTGAAGGAAGGTTTTCCAGGATCCAGCAATTTGCAAAGTTCTTTAAATATAGCCTGAGAAGAATTTTGTTATACTTGAACAACATATGAAGCAACAATATATAAAGTGGTGTGATATATAATGGCAAGATTTGAACTAAAAATATTGACGAAACCCCAATTGATAGAGAGGGAAAAGAAAAAGTAGTTTGTCTTTCCAGTGTAATTACTTCCGTGGTGTAAAAAATAAAACTAAAAAACAGAAAAATTTGGCTTTCTTGTTTTGAAACTATCAGAAACCATAGAGAACGTAAAGCAAAACTGAATAATGGATTAGGTACGATTAAAAAAATAATGACAAAAGAAAAAAAGAATAATGATACTCTTATTAAGTTCTGGAGCCTAATTGTAACCGGACGATTATTATTAATTTTGGATTAATTAGAGAGGTTAGAGAGAACACACGATTTTCTCTTGTAAACATCTTTATCATAATAAATTACTGCGGCTGCTGAAAGAAGGGTAAACCTTTATAAAATTACGCCTTTTTATTTTTCTCTACAATATAGAATTAGAGCGTCTAATTCTTAACAAGCTATGACGAAAACAGAGATTCCTGTGTTTCTAAACAACTGATGCAACAATTAACTAAAAGCCGAAAAGAAGGTAAATCAGAATTAAATGACAATTATAGAAACCAAAAATAAAAATAAAAAAATTACGACGCAGGTACGTACATGTTGAATAATCTTGCGCTTGTTGTGGCCGGCAGCGAGGTCATTAAAATTGACAGTGTTTTTAACGTTCGACTGCAAGTAGCGGACGAGTTTGATGTGTACATCGGCCAGGAGAAGAGCGCGAGCGATCACATTGAGGCACTGGCCGAGGACCTTCTCGTCCAAGGGAAACCCAATGGAGACTCTTTCATTTCGCTCGTTCTAAGTAGTTAATTTTAAATTTTTACCGTTAAAAACTTAAAAAACATTATTTTTAGGACCTGTTTAATTCGCTGATTTAAATTTTTAATTTGAGTTGAAATATAATTTCATGTGAGAATTTTTTACTGTAATAAAAAAATTAAATATAACTGTTTGTGATAATTTTTTACTGTAATAAAACTCAAATTTTAAACTCAAATTAATTAAATGATATTAAAAAATTATTACATCTCAATTTAAATTAAAAATTTAAATTCGTAAAATAAACGAAATCTGAATCTCACTCCGAATAGGTTCATTAATTATCTTTTCTTATTTCTTTCAAAAAATACAAAACTAACCTTCACCTTTCTATTATTGACATCCTTAATTATAACTCTATCTTTATTAGAATTGATCAACTCAAATAAATTCGGTTTTTATTTTTTTGTACTTCATTATTTATTTGCAATCTCACAATCAAATACTCAAAATTTAATCAATTTATAAAGTGTCAAAATTTAATTAAAATGATTGTCATTAAGATGAAAAATGGGATAGTAAATTCTGATCGACTTAAACAATTTAAACAATAGGGTCAATCCTCACCAAAAGGGACAATATTAATTTTAGATTGAATTTTAAGGATTAATTCTAAAATAAAATTCTTTTTTAAATATCGTGTTCATTATTTCTTCTTCTTTTTTCCTTAAAAAAAAGAATATAACATATGATACATAACAAATTATTTCTAAATTGCAATCATCTTTTTTTTTTATCCTAACGTGCCCAAGGAGAGAGAAAGAGAGGGATCAGCGGTATTTCTACGTTTTTGAAATTTGTGTAAAATTAAAAAAAGAAAAGATAATTGTTGAGAATGATGCCCTCAAAATATGAGATATAATTAGTGATTTTATTATTTAATTAATAAAGTAAAAATTTCATTATTTATGTGCATGTATTGTTAAATACTTTATCAATATCATTGAAAATTTCACGATTATTTATGTAACTTTAAATATGGTATATAAGTGTTATATATTAAATGATAATATTTAAGGATAATAATCAAAACATAAAGTCCATAATGGTTATCGATTAAAGTTTAGAATCTTTAATTGATCACATTATTAATACATGTCATTCTCATTCTGAATGGAACGATCTTATCCGATCATTGATATGTCAAGATATCGAAGTGAGTGTATTTTACATAATGAGATTATGTAGAACTGAGACACATACACAATATGAATTTCTAATAATTTCTGTTAAGTATAGAAATTCTAATAAAGTCTATTGATTGTCATATATAGAATGATTTTAATCCTGAGTTATCAGCCGACTCCTATTTTTAAATACGTGTCTTTTGACTTATTCGGTAAAGATCTCGACACACTTAGATCTTATCTTTGTATCTTAGAGACAAGAAAAAATAGGTAGCCAGGAATGCTAATATTACAATATGGAATCCATTCCTTCTTAAGAAATGAGCGGATAAATAATTCTCTTAAGGGTTGATTCGGTACTTGGAGTAGTTGGAGCTCCGATTTATGAATGTGTTTTATGAATCACTATCCATTAGAGAATCAATAGTACTCAAGGATAAAGATGTAATTAGAGAGGTTAACAGATTTCACTTAGCTCTAATTATGAATTATTTATGGAGGATCGATCTATATGTAGTGACAATATCAAATGGACACTTCAAGTTCTTAGAAGTAAATTATGTCTATAATTTTGAGTGTGCAATTTTAAGCTTTTAATGGAGTAACTTTTAGAATTAATAAACTGAATTAATTGATTAAAGAGTTTAGTTAATTATTAATTTTATTAGAGCTCAAAATTATAGGTCCATGAGTCCCCCCGTCATCCTTGTAATATTTGCAAAACAAGACGAATTATCGGGATTTTATTTTACTCGTGAATAATTAATTGAGAATTAATTACACATTAAATATTGTGATTATTTAATTATTTTATCACACACTGTGGTGGGACCACAGGAGGCGTGTGACACTGAAAAAAATCTCACTGGGATTTAGTTGCTTGCTCACCAAGTAATCCGGTTGACTTGTTCAGCAAGTTTTCCAATTAAATTCAAAAGGAAAAGTAAGATGTTACTTTATTTGGAATTGAATTTAAGCTAAAATTAAAAACTGGATTAAGGAGGAATTTTCTCATTCCTTTCTTAATTTTGGCCGGCCATCCTATAGTAAAAGGGAAGGAAATTTTGTTTCCAAAATTAAAAGAGAAACTGTATTTTTAATGAGATTAAAAATATGATAACTTTCAATTTCTATTTGCTTTGTCTACAAGCAAAAGGGTTCTTGTAATTCTCTATAAATAGGAGAAAATTATAGAGAGAGAAAAAGGAAGAAAAATTCTTCTATTTCCCAATTTCTTCACATACATGTGTTGATAGTGAAGAAAGAAAAATTAGTGAGTGATCATAAACGATAGTTCTACCCTATAGCCCACACTTTAAGTCTTGCAAGTTTCAAGGAGTAGGCGTGGAATATTCTTGTATTCTAAGAAAGTTTAGAGCTTGGATCGTTTGTGGGTCAAAAAATTCAAGTTATCTTCCTAATCGTTAGCAAGGTATAATTCTTGAACTAAATCAATTAGATTAATTTATTTGTCGTAAATTAATATATTCTATAGCATTCAAAAAAGTTTTATGAAAATTTTTGTTCGGACCCGATCCGTATTTCCACGCTTACGCACCCGAATTCGATTCGAAAACCAACACAAATGACACTTGTGCCCCCTGAACTATTGGCATGTTGCACAAGTTTCCCCTAAAGTTTAAAAATAGTAAATTTTCTCCCTGAATAATTCGTTGTTAGCATGCGTCCCCCTTATCCGCCCTTTCTGTTAACTTTTGAACATTAAGTGTGACGTGTCAGTTACTGAGGCATTTAATTTTTAATGTAATATGAAATGATGATTTCATCCCTCCCTGAGGAGATGTGAAAGAGAAGAGGAAGGAAGACGAGATTGAGTGTGTGGAAGCAGCTCTCGAGAGGTCTTAGGATAAAAGAGTCATCGAGAGCTTGGCCGCCATAGAACTTGGCTTGCGCGTGGTTGGTCTTGAAGAAGGAAAGTCTGGGGATGGAGTAGAGCCCGTAGAAGAGGCAATTGAAGGTCATGAAGTAGTAGCAGGAGGCGGTGGAGAAGCCGACGACGGAAATGGCGGTGAGGAAGGAGAGAGGGAGGGAGTTGAAGGAGGATGAGAGATAAGAGAAGGAAAAGAAGAAGAAGGCGATCTAGGAGAAGAGGAAAGAAAGCCAAACTCTGACGAAGGCGCCGGACTTGAAGTTGAGGGAGTCGAGGATGTAGGAGATCATGAGGCCCACGGTGAGAGTGGTGACAACGGGGGTGCCGCCGAGGTTGAGAAGGAAGGCGGCGTATGGGAGGAGAGTGATGGTGATGCGGGAGTTGTGAGTGAAGAAGGAGACGACTAGAGAGAAGTGAGAAGTGTTGTTGTTGAGGGATCTACGGGAAGAAGGGTCGGCATCGGAAGGGTTAGGGTTTGGATCGGAGGAGAAATTGTTGAAGGAGGGATGGAGGAGAAGGAAGGAGTGCTGACTGAGGAGGAGATGCATGGATGAAAGGAGCGGGGTTGGAGCTCCGGCAGGATCATCTTCGCCGGTGACAGAGACGATGAGAGGATTTTGGATATTATAGAATGGATTTCAAGATTTGGCCTTAATTACTTATTATTCCTTACAATGAGAGTCACATGCCACAAACGTGACACTTAACGTTCAAAATTTAACAAAGAGGACGGATAAAGACGACGTGTGCTAACGGTGAATTGTTCAAAGGAAAATTTACTATTTTTAAACTTTATGGGGAATTTTTGTAACACGTCAATAGTTTAAGGAGCACAAGTGTAATTTGTCCAAAAAGAAATATAGAAATTTATTAAGGATTGACGCCAGGAAGACAGAATAGAGATTTTGCGGTGATAAAGACAACAACAATAGCCATAGGAAACAATGTTGGCTTTAGCAGCGAGCATATCAGCCACAATCATGACCTCAAAGCTCTGCTAATCCAAGTCCGATTACCCACGAACAAAGCCAAAAAAAAAGTTATGAAACCCAATAAAACTAGCCGTCCAAAACCCACGTCGCCTGGCATCCCACAATGCAAAAAGGTCTTTTTCCCTCCAAGCTCTGGGCCCACAAAGAGGTTGATGATGATGGATAAGAAGTCACCAACAAAACTACTTTCGGTCTTGTTCATTTTACCGATTCGAGTTTTCAATCATAAGTTTCTACAGTTAAAAGCTCTCAAAAAATGCTACATCTAACCTTTTCTACTACAGTTAAAAGCTCTTAAAAAATATCACATCTCAGCTCGAATTGAAAACTCGAATCCGAAAAGCAAACGGGACCTTCACTTCTCTGGTCTTACATTTCTTTTGAGCTATAAAGTATGGTTATTGATGAGAGCTTTGCACTATCTAAAATGCATATTTTGTTTAGTTGGACAGGAGGATTTGGACTATTTTTAGAAATTGGTATATGTTACTGTCGTAGGTGCTACTATAATAGAGTATGGAAGTGTGGTTTTTTCAGAGATAGCAAAACCAAACATCATGCAAGCACTTTGTTAGATACCAAAAGTCCTACGTGAAATGATTATAAGATAAATAATGAGTTTATAAGTCCTTGAGTTCCCTCCCCTTACAAGCCGATTTTACAAGGGTTAATTCTATCTAATGAGTTTTACAAGTTCGAGTTTAAACTGTTGCATTATAAGCTAGATTAAGATGCATTGGTGAAGCGTCAAAGGGTAATGCGAATTGCTATTGATTTGGGCCAGGCATGGTGGAATGTTAATGTCGAGTATGAGATCAGACGTAGTATGGACTACTGATGCGTTTGGTTGCAGTGAGGGAATGATAATGATAATGAGAATGAGAATAGTAATGATAATGAAATGAAAAAAAAAATGATTCATTTATTTGATTGTAATTTTAAAAATACTATGAAATAGAATATGAATATTTTTTATTTCCCTAATATTACATATAACACTAATATTTTATATATCAATATAATTAATATAATATATAAAATGTAATATAATATAATAAAATTATTATATAATTATAATATAGAATATAATAATATTATATATTATTATTAATATAATGAACATAATTATATTAATATTATATAATATGATTATAATATAATATTCTGATAAAATAATTATATTAGAATTATTTGTATAATTGTGATATTATTTATAATATATTGTAATATTAGTATATATTATATTATAAGATATAATTATGTTATAATATATTATATATATTATTATAGAATATTAAATAAATATATTATAATTTATAGCTATATTTTATTTTATTTTATTTATATTATATATTATATTATATTACATATTATAAGAAAAGAGCTTGGAATGGTTATTCCTCTCATGTGAGGAAGGAATAATAATTCACACAAAATAAGTGAATAGTTATTCCTTTTGAATGACTATTCTTTTTTTAATAAATCTAACCAAACATCATACTTAGATTATATTCTATTTTATTTTTTTGCTTTCCACCCAACCAAACGCATCCTACGATTCTATAACCGTTGCCTATTGATAAGGCGACTTAGGGACGGCTATCCGATAGAAGGAGGGATCCGCAAAGTTACCTAACTAGGAAGATGGGCAGCCGTCCACGGCAATTGTGTTGTGAAATGTTAAAATATCAAAAATCTCATATGAAATGATTATAAAACAAATAGTGAGTTTAAAAGCTCTTGGTTCCCTCCCTTATAAGCCTCTTTTGCAAGGATAAGTTTTACCCAATGGAGATACTAATTCATGCTGTTGGGGCTGTTTTGCTTTTGATAAACCAAAGTCACAAAGAGGAACCGGGCTAGAAACTTTCTGCAAACTTGAATTTCAAGATAAGAGAGTTCAGATCAAGTTGTGGATGCAGTAGGTTATTTTGTATTTATTTCCTGGTTTACCAAAATTTACAAGTTAAATAAATAAAAGAATATCTGCTACTAGAGCAGATAACAGATTTCTCCAATACAATGATTGCAAAGTTCAGCAAATAATATGAAGCAAATGAGAATTAAGGTATTTTGAGGTCATTTTTGAGAGACGGAAAAATCATTATCCGAGAGTTATGCATTGGCTCAATGTTGTCTGTTTGGGCGGCATCTAATAAACAGGCCAGTCTAGAGGTTGTCTTTCAGCCATTTTAGAGCTCCATTTGCAACAGACCTGCAAAATCCAAATAGGAGAATTTAAGTGAAGGTAGATAAAAGGATTTACGTGGAATCTTAAAATGCCTATCTAAAGAATAGAATACTTGATTCAAAGTGAGAATACATAAACAAACAACAGGTATTATAGAAATAACAAGATTGTGTGTTTGGTAGGGTGGAAAAGAGAGAGGAAAGAAAATAGAGGAAGGATTGTCTAGAGGAAAATGGAATTTTAGGTTGTTTGGTAAAGAGAAAATGAGGAAGGAAAATGAAAATCTATGGGGCCCACTAATTTTTAATCCTTCTAACTTTGGGAAGAAAAGAAGAGGGAAAAAGTTTGACAAAAAATGAGATGTAAAATAACAATTTTAACCTTCACCATTCATCATATTTTTATTTGCATTGGGATATTATTGTAAAATGCCTTAAATTTGACATTTTATTTTCACTTTTTTTTTTCTTCTACCAAACAATATGAGAGAAAACCATTTTACTTCCTTCACCTAGGTATTTTACTCTCTTTCCTTCCTTTTTTCTATCCATCCTACCAAACATAGAGTGGGAGAGATATTACCCAGCCACATCCTTTAACTTCTGCCACAAGTCATTTTGATCTCCTGATTCTCCTGTTTTCTCTTCGACGGTCTCGACTGGACTTTCTGTACTCTTAGCTAAAAAGGATAAACATGAATGAAAAGATAATATGAAAATCATACAAACTCAAACGTGAAGAGTTACTAGAATACTATTTCTTACTAGCTGGCCTAGATTGAGGGCGAATTCGTTGACGGCTGGTGTTGGTGTCTTTCAGTGAAGCTAGTTCCTCAAGCAATTCTCGCTCCTTGGAACTGAAAGGGTTGAGAAAACATGGAGTTAAAATTTTGACAGAGAAAACAGAGTTTCCCCACCAACCAAGTAAAGGGTCCTTCCAAAAAAAAGTTACTATTGCCTATCTATAAGAACAGAGAAGACAAAAGGGAAGGAAGATTATAATGCACCTGACACGATTTGGAATACTGACTTTAATTGTAAATAGGTGATCACCACGTATTGATGGTCTATTCAATTTTGGTACACCTTTCTTTGCCAGGACAAGAGTATCTCCGGGTTGGGTACCTGGTGGGATTTGAAGATCAGCAACTCCTTCGACTGTCTTTACCTGTTTAAATGCCAAAAAATCAATTAAACAAGTTACACACAGCGTGCCACGAAACATGACACTCGGCCTTGTTGGCACCTTGTGGGGTAAGGGTGACAAAGAAAGCCATCTTTAGACTCATTGTGGGATAAGAACCTATTTATCTTGTTAGGATGGATCATAATGAGGCCTTTTCAACTACATAGATTTGCCTGGTGCCCTCTCACGATCCTTAACTGCCACTATCACGGTTAACAAGTATAGCCAATATCCTACTTTTCAAAAACTTAACTTTAAACATGCCAACAGTTAGCAATACAGTTGATAAATATCTAGAGTTCTCAAAATTAACAGAGGAGCATGTTAAGCTCAATTTTGATCCCAGAAGAACTAGTAATACTGTTATACGTTACTAGATTTCTCATTCTTCTTTGACCGTCCATCTATAATCTAATTACAACATTCAGAAGCACTAATTAGCACATCCTAAAACATACAACAGCTAGATGGGTGATATTATGCATAGGCCAAAGAAGTCGAACTGCAATACAAAAAGTTCATACTGGATGATGCTAAAACCCCCCAAATGACCTACGTAATATTTCAAATTTTCATAACTTCAAAGCATTAGAAAATTAAATAAAAATCTGCAGCCTCCTGTTGGGATACGACTAAGTATGATTACAACAGTTGGTACCACAAATCTATTAATGAGCTATTAGATAAAAATAACAATAACCTACCTTAACGACAGTCCCCAATATGGCATCTAGATAACTGACAGATATTGTGGAAGTTAGGTTTATGCCATCTCTTTGAATCCCTGATATCTCTTCAACATCAAGATATACAAATAGATCCCCAGGAGGGCCCCTAATGAAATAATAAAATTACAATTAATTCAGAACCATGAAAAAAGTTAACATAAGTAGAAGTACATACTCGAGTAGTTCATACATCCCAGAGAAAAATGTCAGAAACATCTTTTCTTGGAGTAGATGAGTGAAAATGGCTTGCAGAGGCTGTCTTAAGAAAACAAATCTCCGTAATATATATAAGAAAATGAAATCCTCCATGATATGACTGGCTGACAAGCAGATAACACCAAAATTGGGATTGAGATAAATGGAGAACACAAACTTACACTTGTACCAAGATGCATACTTAGACTTAGGAATAATTATTAGTGAGTAGTGACATCTAAATGTGAAACTTTGCATCCATATCAACTGTTAAAAGGAGTAGCCACAATACTCTGAAACAGAATGTTACAAAAATTTAAGCCCTAAATAGTGAACATCAAAGGTAACAGTGGAAATTTTCTCTAGTGCTCAGTCATTGAAACCTTCCCAATGAGGCTTGAAACACTTGACAGAAAAAGTTAACCACTTACCCTTTTGGTCCAACATCACCCTCTCCAGCAACTCTAAGAATACTGCCCGTACTAACACCAGGTGGAACTTTTACTTTGATATTTTTCTTAACACGAACGCGTCCTTCTCCAGCACATTTTCGACAATATTCAGAAATGACTTCACCATCTCCACCACAAGTTGGACATATAGAAACCTTACAATAAAAGAAAGAAAAGAATGTAAATCGTACTAAGGGCTAGAGTAGAAGGTGGTTATTTAAAAGTCGTGGAAATATGAAATTAAACGTCTCAATTAGCAAAACAGTTTGTCAATCAGTTAGCTGATTGTTTGTATTTCCTTATTTGTAAATATTAGTTTTTTTTTTTTGGTTGATTTCTAGGCCTAGAATCAAGGGTGATATCGGATTGTGATTTCCCCTCCTTTTCTATTTAATCTCTGTACATTCACTATGGAAAATTAAGAAATAAGAAAAATAGAATAATTTTTCTCCCAAGTTTCTTCATGGTATCAGAGCGCCCTCTGAAAAACTAATCAATTTCGCTCCCCATCGATCTCCTATGGCTTTATTTTTGCCACCTCCGGCGGGAAATCATCTCCGATAGGTGTCGCGAATCTCCTCTGGCCATCACCGACGCTGTCAACCTTCCTCTTAGTTGACGTCGTCAGTCTCTCTCTCAGTCTCTGATCTGTCGTAACCCATCTCCGATTGAAGCCAGCTTCATCGACGGCCCCTCTGATTTCTCTGATCGAAGCCGTCAATCGCCAATCACCATCTTCGACGATCCCCGTAGGAAATATCGTGGACGACCCAGCAACTACCGTCGACTATCTCTCTCAGAATTCTTCATTGTCGTTCTATTCTATTGTTTCTCTTCAACAAAGGCAGAGAACATTAAAAAAAAATGACAAAATACGATATGGCTGGAAATAAGGACTCTACTTCCGAAGCATCTTCTGACCAACCAGTCATTACTCAAGGAGGGCATGAGGGTACACTTCTTCCTATCACTGGGCACAAACTCAACGGCAATAATTATCTCCAATGGACTCAATCTGTTATGATGTTCATTTGTGGGAAAGGTAAAGATGATTATGTAACTGGTGTAGCGTCACAACCAAAGAAGGATGATCCCAAATTCAAAATCTGGAAGACAGAAAACAATATGGTAATATCTTGGCTCATCAACTCTATGACTAATGAAATTGGTGAAAATTTCATGTTTTATGGAACAGCCAAAGAGATTTGGGATGCAGTGAAAGAAACCTACTCCAACAATGACAATACGGCAGAAATCTTTGATATAGAGAGTCATGATTTGAGACACGGAAACCTATCTGTCACTCAATGTTTCAACACCCTAACAAGTTATTGGCAGCAACTAGACATCCTTGAAGAATTGGAATGGGACAGTCTTGGAGATAGCATCAAGTACAAGAAGGTAATCGAAAAGAAACGAATATTCAAGTTCTTACTTGGCCTCAATAAGAATCTTGATGAAGTCAAGGGTCGAATCATGAGTACCAAGCCTCTTCCAACTATCCGTGAGGCATTTTCTGAGGTCCGAAGAGAGGAAAGCAGGAAGAAAGAGATGCTACGGAACCAAGCCAATCTGCCAACAACAGAAGGTTCTGCTCGTCTCTCACAGTGCCAATCCGCCAAGCCTCGACAACAGAGGAAAAAAGGCTAGACCTTAGTGCGACCATTGCAGAAAACTTGGTCACACCAAAGACACATGCTGGAAGATACACGGCAAACCAGCTGACTGGAAACCTAGAGAAAAACGGGGATTTGCTGTAACTACATATGAGCCCTCCAACTCAGAAGTCTCTCTATTCAGCAAAGAACAGATCGACCTTCTTCAAAAGATGTTCAACCAGATGCAACCTAGTGGTTCCACTCTAGTCATTGGAACTGGGTCCATAGCCCAAAAAGGTAAATTCACAAATGCCTTGAGTGTCAAAACAGAGAAACCCAGCATGTGGATAATCGACGCAGGCGCCTCCGATCATATGACGGGTGATCCTTCATTATTTCAATCTTATCATCCTTGTTCTGAGAATTACAAAGTTCGCATTGCAGATGGATCCTTATCCTCTGTGACTGGTATTGGGTCCATAATAATCTCACAAGATCTTATTCTAAAATCTGTCCTTTTAGTACCCAATCTGACATGCAACTTGCTGTCCATCAGTAAACTCACAAAAGATCATAACTGTGTTACTAAATTTTACCCTTCTCACTGTCAATTTCAAGATTTGGACTCGAGGAAGACGATTGGCAATGCTGAGGAGTGTGCGGGGCTCTACCTCTTCAAAGTTGAAAGTATTCTTGAGAAACATGCTCGATGCGTATCTGTTCCAGCCAAAGTGGGTCAATCCATTAGGGATCTTTTTTCAGTGTCTGAGTCCAATAATAACAATAGTGCAATCATGTTATGGCACTATAGATTAGGTCATCCTAGTTTTGTGTATTTGTCAAAGTTGTTTCCTTCATTATTCAGAAATAAAAATCCAAGTTTGTTTCAATGTGAAATTTGTCAATTATCAAAACATGTGAGAAACTCCTTCCCTGCTCATGATTACAAAGCATCCCATCCTTTCCATATGATCCACAGTGACATTTGGAGTCCTTCTCGCATCACCAATATCTCAGGGAAAAGGTGGTTTGTCTCCTTTATTGATGATCATACAAAAACAACATGGATATTTCTCATGAAGGAAAAATCAGAGGCAGGTCCTATCTTTAAAAACTTCCATTCCATGATCCAAAACCAATTTCAAGCCAATGTTCAAATCTTTAGAACAGACAATGCAAAAGATTATTTCAATACCATTCTTGGGGAATACTTACTGGAAAAAGGAATAGTGCATCAGAGTTCTTGCATAACTACCCCTCAACAAAATGGCATAGCCGAACGGAAAAACTGACATCTTCTTGAAGTTGCTCGTGCTCTCATGCTTACCTCCAATGTTCCAAAACATTTCTGGGGAGATGCAGTACTTATAGCAGCATATCTCATCAACAGAATGCCATCTCGGGTACTGAAATTCAAAACTCAATGTCAAACTCTCTCTCAGTGTTTGTCCATATTCCCTCCCATATGAGAAGCAAACTTGATCCCAAAGCTGTTAAATGTTTATTCCTTGGATACTCATCAAATAAAAAAGGATACAAGTGCTACTCTCCAATCACCAAGGGGATCTACAATTCTATGGATGTTTCTTTCATTGAAGACCAACCATTCTACCCCAAAACTCATATTCAGGGGGGGAATTCTGCCACTCAAGAAGAATATAAGTTTTGGTTTGACCTAGATCATCCGACATCCACTGAACCTCCACAAATAGAGTCAACCGAAACTCCACAAATAGAGTCAACCGAACCTCCACAAACAGTACAACTCACTCCTCAAACAACTCAACTTGAAAATCCTTCCATCACATACACTCTTCCGATCCACAAAACTGGTACAGATTGCAGACATGATTCATTGTTGAGTAATGATCTTGATGTCCCTATTGCTAATAGGAAAGGTGTGAGAACATGCACACGTCACCCTATTTCCTCTTTTGTATCTTATGATAGATTATCTCCTAGCTACCAAGTCTTCACCACCAATCTATCAAAAGTTGACATTCCAAATAGCATACAAGAAGCAATTACCCAACCAGAATGGAAGAAAGCTATTGATGAAGAAATCTGTGCCCTAGAAAAAAATTGTACTTGGGAGTTGACAGATCTTCCAGAAGGCAAGCGTCCAGTAGGGTCCAAATGGATATTTAATGTCAAGTATAAAGCAGATGGAAGCATTGATCGATACAAAGCCCAGTTAGTAGCAAAGGGATTCACTTAGACATATGGAATTGACTATCAAGAGACGTTTGCCCCGGTGGCTAAACTGAATACAGTTCAAGTCTTACTGTCTTTGGCAGCAAACTTAGATTGGCCTCTTCATCAGTTAGATGTGAAAAATGCTTTCTTGAATGGTGACTTAGAGGATGAAGTCTACATTCAAGAAAGCATTTTTCACATCTAACTGATGAAGAGGCCAATCTAAGTTTGCTGCCAAAGACAGGCCTTAAACAATCACCTAGAGCTTGGTTTGACAGATTCACAAGGGCAGTCAAGAAACATGGATTTTCACAAGGGCAGTCCGATCACACGCTATTTTTCAAGCACTCGCCAAGCGGGAAGATCACTATTCTTATAGTTTATGTGGACGACATCATCCTTACAAGTGATAATGAGGAAGAAATGGTCTAGTTAAAATCAATCCGTGCAAAGGAGTTTGAAATCAAGAATCTTGGAGCTCTAAGGTATTTTCTTGGCATGGACATAGCCAGATCAAAGAAGGGCATATCAGTTTCCCAACGAAAGTACACCCTAGACTTACTGAAGGAGACGGGGATGCTTGGGTGCAAACCAGTAGACAATGGATTCAAACTATAAAATTGGAATGAAAGAGGGAAGTGCTCCGGTTGACAAAGGACGTTATCAACGCCTTGTGGGAAAACTCATATACTTATCTCACACTAGACCTGACATTGGATTCCCAGTTAGTGTGATTAGCCAATTCATGAATAATCCCACTGAAGAACATCTTGATGCAGTGTATCGGATTCTCATATATCTCAAAATGACGCCAGGAAAGGGACTGTGTTTCAAAAAGGGGCATGATAAGAGCATTGAGATATTCTCTGATGCAGATTGGGCAGGCTCCGTGACTGATCGAAGATCTACCTCAGGTTATTGTACTTATGTGTGGGGAAACTTGGTTACTTGGAGGAGTAAGAAACAATCAGTGGTAGCTAGAAGCAGTGCTGAAGCTGAATTCAGAGGAATGGCACATGGTATTTGCGAAGGAATGTGGCTAAAAAGACTCCTAGAAGAACTAAAGATTCCCAGTGAAGGCTTCATGAAGATGTTTTGTGATAATCAGGCCGCGATAAACATTGCAAAGAATCATGTTCATCATGACAGGACAAAACACGTGAAAATCGACAGGCACTTCATCAAGGAGAAAATTGAAGAAGGAGTAATCAAGATGATTTATACTCCCACAATCTGCAAACCGCAGACATTCTCACAAAGGGTCTATCACGAGTCACTTTCGAGAATTTGACTTCCAAGCTGGGAATGATCGATATCTACTCACCAGCTTGAGGGGGAGTGTGGAAATATGAAATTAAACGTCTCAATTAGCAAAACAGATTGTCAATCAGTTAGCTAATTGTTTGTATTTCCTTATTTGTAAATATTAGTTTTTTTTTTGTTGTTGATTTCTAGGCCTAGAATCAAGGGTGATATCGGATTGTGATTTCCCCTCCTTTTCTATTTAATCTCTGTACATTCACTATGGAAAATTAAGAAATAAGAAAAATAGAATAATTTTTCTCCCACGTTTCTTCAAAAGTCCCCTAAATAACAGAACCATCTAACTAGTCATGTCCAAAAGATGGCACAAAACTACCAAGTGATGCCCCACCATACAAAGTTAACTCAACTAATCCTTTTAGTTATCAATGTTGAAAAGGCATGAAAGCCACAATAAGAATTGATATCACGCATGATGCAAGGTCATAACATGAAGTCTGAGAACAAATAGTACTCAATTACCTGGGAAAACAATCCAAAAGGTGTTTGCTCAGTTCTCATAACTTGACCCCTCCCACCACAAGTTGAACATATCCTCATTTTGGATCCCAGTTTTGCTCCAGTTCCGGTGCAAGATTCACATGTCTCGAGATGAGAAAGTTCAAATTCTTTTTCTGCTCCAAATATAGCCTCAGAAAATCCTAAGGAGATGTCATAACTGCACATATTTGAATAATAAATCATGTTAACTTTCCAGTCTCCAGGTAAATTCAACTTGTTATGCTGCTATAACTGAACAAAAGAAAGGCGCAGATCTCGTGGTAAAAAGATAATAAGTATAATTCTAGGAAATAAAGATTACACTTATCAAACAGTTTGTTCCTTTATCCTATACTATTGACGTTAACAAAAGAAATTAAACAACTACACTAAGGTAGCAAATTAAAATGATAAAATAAGGCCAGACAGATGAAACTTAAAAGTTAATTATAAATGTGATTTTTCATAAAAGGACCAACTTGTAGGGTGAAAAGATTATAACTTACCGTATGTCTTCACCCTTAGTAACAGTACTCCGACGACGTGTTCCAAATCCAGCTTGGTCCATACCAGGAAACCCGCTCATACTCGGTCCAAAAAATGTCTCAAATAAATCAAATGGATTAGTCTGCCCAAAAAAGGGGAAAAAGGTGACAACCAAACAAACAAACAAACAAAAAAAGGAGAAGCTTAGCACATCAAGTGAATTGTGATGGAAACTTTGCACAGTTCTATAGTTTCAAGTACAGTCCTACTTTCATAATCTAACATAAGAACAAAAAATATTTTCTCACTTTGAGACTACAAGTGATTTTACATCATATCCAAAGTTACTTAACAAAATCTAATTATTTTTTAAAGGAACAAAATCAAATTATAATTGATAGAACAGCTCAAACTTGTTTGTTTCTGAATTTCACTGCTGAAGGAAAAAACTTTCCTCGGTAAAAAATAGATAACTACTCTGGAAACCAAAAGGAAAATTCCATTCCTATGAGCACACGTTTTCAGGAATTACGAGTTGCTAAAAATGTATGTCAGAGAGAAAGTAACTAAAATTCCCCAATCCTACAAGAACTTGCAATACCGTATAGGCACTTGAGCCTCCTCCTACTGTGCTCTTAACTCCAGCTTCACCATATTGATCATACAAAGCTCGCTTGTTATCGTCTGATAGCACCTGACAGTGTTGTACTTCAGAATTCAAAAGACAATATCATAAATATGAAAAGGGCCAAAAAAAAAAAAAAAGAGGAAGTGCGCAAACGGATTGCATTAACTCCTTAAAGTATACCTCATATGCAGCACTAATCTCTTTAAATTTCTCGGTAGCTCCAGGTTGCTTGTTCACATCAGGGTGGTACTTGAGAGTAACAAAACATTTATAAAAGTCAGCTTCACATTATTTTATGCAACATTACAATAAAGTGAACTAAATTTTAGAACTTTTTTTTCCCACTTAGAAGTGATCAACCATAACCAACCCAAAAAGTAACTTTTTTTTTGTAAAAAAGAATATGTAAAAGTTTAATTAAAAGTTCATAAACTTCAATAAGCTAAGACTTTTGAGCAATTTTGTTTGCTTCATTTACTTTTTCAATAGGCCGTAACCAAATTAGCCAATACTAATCCATGAATAACTCAACAATTTGATCACTATCTTCTGCTTTAATAGGTTACCGAGAAATCTACGAAAAAATTGACAGAACCCAGAATTCAGACGACAAATTCGCACAGGATTTTCAACATCGTAACCGAGTTGATAAAATTGAAAAACGCCCAAATGAGATCGGTACCTGGCGAGCTAACCTTCGATAGGCGGCCTTGATTTCCTTGCTACTGGCCGATTTCGGAACCCCGAGAGTGGCATAGTAATCCCCAGAAGCAGTAATTACTGGCCCAAATCCGCGTTTAGCACGGTTAAGCCTCGGATTAAGCTTTGAAAACGAAGAATAGAGCGAGATTAAGCTTTTGTGGGTCGCTCCCGATGAGAAGGAAGAGGAAGAGAGAGAAGAAGTGGGCGGTGAGACGAGAAGGTGAGGACGGTCGGGGATGAAGCTGAGGGAAGAGGAAGGGAGGAGAGAGAGAGAGGTCGCGGCGGCCATTGAAGCGCAGGAGGAAAATGCCGATGTCCGTCAAATGCTCGATAAAAAGTCTAAGAGAGCAACAAGAAGGAGAAGAACTGACTGAATTCGTTCATGTTTTTTGGGGGCTTTAGACTTACTGAGAAGATGAATGAAATAACAAGAGAGGTTAAAGGGCGAAGAAAAGATGTGTGGTGACACTTGCATACAGCACGTTTTAAAAAGTCTCTTTTAATTTTTTATTTTTTTGGTCAAATTAAACGGCCGTATTATTTTGCTTTTACTAAAGAAAAGGTTTTTTTTTTTTTTTTTTTTTTTTTTTTTTTTTTTAAAAAAAAAGTTTTTTTTTTTTTTTTTTTTTTTTTTTTTTTTGCTAAGAAGAAAAGGTGTTAAACTCATTTGTAATTGTAAGTTTCTTTTTTACTCGCCGGAGATGTAAGAATTTTCATTAATGTGTGTTGGGCGGCATTTCCGGAATCATAAAATGTGCAATAAATTCAAAGGTTTGTCAGAGCTCAAGCTATCCCGAGCCCAAGCTCTCCCGAACCCAAGTTCTCCGGAACCCAAATTTGCCGGAGCCCAAGCTCTCCCGAGCCCAAGTTCGCCGGAGTCTAAATTTGCCGGAGCCCAAGCTCTCCTGAGCCCAAGCTCTCCCGAGTCCAAATTTGCCAGAGCCCAAGCTCTCCTGAGCCCAAGCTCTCCCGAGCCCAAATTTACCAGAGCCCAAGCTCTCCCGAACCCAAGTTCGCCGGAGCCTAAATTTGCCGGAGCCCAAGCTCTCCCGAGCCCAAGCTCTCCGGAGCCCAAATTTGTCAGAGCCCAAGCTCTCTCGAGCCCAAGTTCTCCGGAGCCCAAGCTCTCCCGAGCCCAAGCTCGCCAGAGCCGAAAGTTCAAAGGTCGCATGATGTTATCAAGTGAAGTAACTGACGCTAATTAAAGATATTAAAGGGTTGAAAGTTAATTCTCATTGATTATTTATCAGTTTTAACTCACAAAAAAGGTGAAGAGCCTCTTTGTAATTAAGAGAGAATAAACTCTCGAATTAATGGGAGAATTAAACTCCCTCAATCCTAATGTACTATAAATTCCCTCAGTTTGAGAGGGAAAGGAACACTCATTTTTCTGAATACAATTGCCTTGTGATTGTCATCATTTTGTTTTTGTTATTCCTTCAGAGGTTCTTTGTGTTCTTCGAGTGTTCTTCCAATTTCCTTAGATAATTTGCTTATTCAATCCAAATTATTAGTCTAGGGACGCTGGATAGGTGTTGGACGAAATTTTGCTCCAACATTTTTGGCGCTAGAAGGAGGGCCCTAGTGTGTTTAACATCCACGGGTTCTCACCGGCACTTAAAATTTTCTATCTCATTGCTAGGTCATTTTCAGGTATGGCGAGTGACCAAGTCTCAAGTGCTCAACGTACCCATTATGAGGGAACCCAAAGAAGGAGACTCGGCGCTAATCCTGAAAAGGCACCACGTGCTCCTCGTCCACCAACACGCACTGACAGGATCGAAGCACGAGTGGACACGTTGGCAGGGATGGCGAATCAGCTTATCACTACCTTTAACACGGTTCGTCCAGCAAATAACCAATAAGTAGGCCGGCGAATTCACGTAGTGCCAGGAGTGGGCATAGCCATCGTCGGAGCCAGCCTAATGAAGGTGAAGGTCAATCCAATAGGACTCAACCAAGGGACTTGCCCGAGCCGCAGGAACCATGTCACGCACCTAGGCGTCGGAATGCTTTGTCACGGATTGGGAGTCATCACGATGCAACTGAAAGAACTAGGACATCGGTGTTTGACAGGGTAGAAGATAACCGTAATAGCAAAGAAGTTGATAGCACCTGGACACCTGGGTTTGATGATTTCACCACTACTGATTTGCGGAATCGACTCAACGCACAATGGAATGTACAAGCAATTGTACCTATGCCCTCAAACAACCAGGCAACTCAAAACAGGAGTAGGAGGAGAGCCGAAATACCACAATCTTTCCGGAGCCAAGTAAATAGGGCGAATCAGAACCATAACCGACATGATAATTAAGGAGGCGTAAGTCAATCCAATAGGAGCACCCATGAGGAACAACTCGGGCAGCAACTCGAAATGATGCAAAGGCGAATGGATGACATAGAAGCCAACAAGAATTTTCCGGATGGAGTAAGAGACTTGCTGGATGAAACAGAGCCGCCATTCACTGAGGACATCATGGCAGAGGAATTTCCTGTTGATTTCAAGATGATTCCCATCAAACAGTTTGATGGGAAAGAGAATCCAACAGGACATATACATGGATATAGCACATGGATGCGAATTCGGGGAGCCACATAAGCTCAGATGTGCCAAGCCTTTTCTTTGACGCTTACTGGGTCGGCGCTTCAATGGTTCCAACAATTAGAGCCAAGGTCAATTAGTTCATTTAACCAGCTGAAACAACAATTTGTAGGACGATTTGTGATAGTAAAAACTCGCAGGAAAGATAAGCTTTATTTGTTCTCCCTTAAGCAAGGAGCTGATGAATCGTTAAAAGCCTACATTGAACGTTTCAGCCAGGAAATGAATTATGTGGAAGGGTACACTAATAGTGATGCTGTGGCCGTAATTTGAGAAGGACTTTAGGAATGTGATATGCTGAAGTCAATTTACAAAAAACAACCAAAAACCTTCGCCGATCTCGTTATCCGAGCTCAGAAGTTCATTAACGCTGAAGAATACATGCGCAATCGGAGAGGACAATCTCAAACGGATCAATCAAAAAATGATGGAAAGCGGAAGGTAGAAGAAGGATCTAAAGGAGGAGAAGGAAAAAAGCAAAAGTCAGAGGCACAACAGGACATGAACAAATCCAAGACTGCCTTGACGCAAAAGTTCCAAGCTTACGCTCCACCAGATACGACAAGGGCCTACACACCCTTGAATACGACAGTGGCACAGATTTTAATGTAGATTCAACATCGGAATTTATTAACTCCTCCAACCCCTATGAAGGGAGATCCTAACAAGAGGGATAAAAGTAAATATTGTTACTTCCATAAGGACCATGGCCATGAAACCTCAAGTTGCTTTCAATTAAAGGACAGATTAAGGCACTCATTCAACAAGGCCAGTTGCAGGAGTTTGTGGACAGAGTGATAGCAGAGAGAAGAATTGCACTCCCGACAACAATGGGAAAACAAGCAGCGGTCGCACAGGGAATAAATACAACAGGTGGGAATAATTCTACATTGAATGAGGTCAGGACAATTTTTGGAGGACCAGAACCGGTGATTCCATGCGGGCTCAGAACCTGTATGCTCGAGAAGCTAAAGGTCTCGATTGTGTCCAATTTGTAAATATGACGGAACATGCCGCAAAATTTGCAAAGATGGAGAACATCACCATAACCTTCATAGAGGAGGAGGAAGTTGCTTCATCCACATAACGATGCCATAGTTGTGTCTTTACAAGTGGCAAATAGCTTAGTCCACCGGATTTTGATCGACAATGGGAATTTGGTGGATATACTATTCAATGATGCTTTAACCAAGATCAACCTAGGTGGAGCAAAGTTAACACCCGTGAACACCCTACTCCAAGGCTTTACTGGAGCATGCATCCATACTGAAGGAATGATAACACTCCCAGTTACCATGGGAGAAGGGGACACTAAGGTGACAAGAATGGTAAATTTTTTAGTTGTGGACCAACCATCTGCTTACAATGTCATCATAGGGCGACCGACTTTGAATGCCATGAGAGCAGTAACGTCAACATATCATCTGATGTTGAAATTTCTGACGAAAAATGGTGTTGGAGTAGTGCTTGGCAATCAACAAGAGGCTCGCATTTGCTATGTAAAAGTAACCAATGGGAAGGTTGAATCGAAAGGAAGGGAAGTCTAGAAAAGTATTAACACATATTTAAAATGTTAAGCACCTCAAGAAGTATTATCAATAGTTAAAAAGTTTGAAGTTTAGTGTGTGTTTGTACTTCGATGTGACGCCAAGTTTGTTAGGCGAAACATATTATTACTAAATAAAGTCGAAGTGTTTGCTAATTTCTTCTTTTAATATGACAAAGAAAATGGGGGATAGAAGTGTATCAATTCAAAAAAAAAAAAAAGAGCTTCGGCTCGGAAAAACCCGACCCCAAATGGGCACGGGAAAATAAAAAAGCCTTGGCTTGGAAAAATCCGACCCCAAGTGGGCACGGGAAAATCCAGAGAGCTTCGGCTCGGAAAAACCAGACCCCAAGTGGGCACGAAAAAATAAAAGAGCTTCGGCTCGGAAAAACCCGACCCCAAGTGGGCACGGGAAAATAAAAAAGCCTCGGCTTGGAAAAATCTGACCCCAAGTGGGCACAGGAAAATCCAGAGAGCTTCGGCTCGAAAAAACCCGACCCCAAGTGGGCACGGAAAAATAAAAGAGCTTCGGCTCAGAAAAACCCGACCCCAAGTAGGCACAGGAAAATAAAAAAGCCTCGGCTTGGAAAAATCCGACCCCAAGTGGGCACGGGAAAATCCAGAGAGCTTCGGCTCGGAAAAACCCGACCCCAAGTGGGCACGGGAAAATGAAAAAAGAGCTTCAGCTTAGAAAAACTCGACCCCAAGTAGGCACGAGAAAATAGAAAAAACAAGGGAACAACCCGACCCCAGGTGAGCACGGGAAAATCCAAAGAGGAAGAAACCTTGGCGTGAGAAAACCTAAGCCTAAGTTAGGCTTGGAAAAATCGCAAAGTCGAGAAAATATTACCACGAAAAAAGTCGACCCCAAATGGGCACGGGAAAATCCTAAGCCATGGGAGAAACTTGGTTAAAGGGAAAACCAGACCCCAAGTGGGCACGGGATAACTCTAAACCAGAGAAAATATATATATATATATATATTAGCTAGTCTACATTGATAAAATGTAGCAATTGCAAAGAAAAATTAAAAAAAAAAATTATTATTATGTTACAGGAAAGATAACAAAAGAACATGTTTCAATAAAAGGAAAAGTGTTAGCCAACCGGCCCAAGTACACAAGAGCAAGCATGAAAAATGGAGTGCATAGCAAAAAAAAAAAAGAAAGCTTTTAGGTGCTGCTTGGTGGATCGATACTTGGAGGATCGCTGCTTGGTGATTTTTCTAAATCCTTCATAGGTTCAATCATCTCATCATCAGGGTTGAAGTCTTTTGGTGTAGGTGCCGAAGGAGTCTGAACAATATGAGGAG